CAACAACGACGCGCCATTGACGCGCCGGTACCGTGTATTTGTGCGAGGGCGACAGGACACGACGTCGTGATGTTGACGCAGCGGTCCTTTCCACCCCGATTGAGCAATCTAACACTATTTCCGTCGTAACGAATTCCAGTTTGAGTGGGTCCAGTTGCCATTTCGAAGAGCCATGACGCTGAGCGAGTACGGGTCCGTTGCGCTCGACATCAAGCAGGACCGCCCGGCGCGGTCGGCCGTCGCCCACTCTCTGCTGCACCAGCAAGACGCCAACGAGGTCCGCTGCCTCCCGCAGGCCACGTCGCAGCGCGTGCAGCTGGCCATCTCGGCGTCCATCGTCATCAACATCATCCTCGCGATCGCCAAGACGTACGCGGCCGTCGTCAGTGGCTCGCTCGCCGTGCTCTCGTCGCTCGTCGACTCGATTCTCGATCTGACGTCCCAAGGCCTCTTTTGGTTTACGGACCGCTACATGCACACGCCGAGCCCCGACTACCCGGCGGGCCGCCGCCGCCTCGAGCCGATCGCCGTCGTTGTCTCGGCTACGCTCATGGGCATGGCCTGTACGTACCATCCCTCTTTTGCATTCGCCGTGCTGATCTGGATCATATTAGCGCTCGAAGTAGTGCAAAAGTCGATTGCGACGCTCATTGAAGGCTTCAACGGCCACCTCCCGGAGCTCGACATGTCCATTTTGACGATTGCGGTGCTGGCGATTGCAATCGTGGTCAAGCTCATCCTTTGGTTCCTCTGCGCGCAAATCGCGCACGTTTCGCCGTCGGCCGCGGCGCTCGCCCAGGTAGACTGTACCTCTACGCGTGTCGATCGTTCTTATCCTCTCGTAGGACCACCGCAACGATGTCTTTAGCAACGCCGTCGCCGTCACGACGTCGATGATTGCGCACTACAACGTTGAGATGTGGTACCTCGACCCGATCGGCGCCATTTGCATCTCGATCTACATTACGTGGAGCTGGCTCGAGACGGGCAAGGAGCAGGTCGACCGGCTCGTTGGCATTCGTATGTCGTTTTGTACTGCTGTGTTTTCCATGGTATTATTGAACGCGTCTTGTAGAGGCTGACGAGGATTTCATTGCGCGCATCGACGGCATTGCCGACACGCACCACCCCGACATGCAGTCGGACATTGTCCGCGCGTACCATTTTGGCAACAATTTTTTGGTACTTATCATCATTTTCGAGACGTGACCGACGTTTCCTGCGGTAGGTGGAGCTCGAAGTCATCATGCCCAAGTCGATGACGGTCGGCGACGCGCACGACATCAGTCTCGCGCTCCAGAAGAAGGTCGAAGAGCTCGACGCCGTCGAGCGGGCGTTCGTCCACGTCGACTACGAGTCGCGCGATTACGACGAGCACAAGGACCCGACGATCCGGAAGGACTCGTCGTAAGCGTATCGAGTCAACACCACGGCGGTCAGGCAAATAGATCTTTTGGTGTGTCACTCGACTCCATGCATGCAGTTGCACTTCTTCCAAGCAGAGAATACGGACGAGAGAGAGAGAGGGGATAGAATGGATGCATATTGTAGCGAGCGAATACATGTACTGTTGTGGACCGCTTGACACTGGTACGTGCATATGACGTGGTCGCAGCGGTGCTCGAGCTATGTGTGGCCTGGATCTATGCTTGGATCTGATTGGCGTATTGAAAGATACGCTTGGATTTGATTGGCCGCCTGTCTCACTTTGCCTCTAAACGAGATCGTGGAGATGGAGGAGACGAGTGTCCTAGACATGCTTCCACCATGTTCCACTCGACTCTTGGAGGCAGCCAGCGATGCCAGCGCGTCTACTAGCATGCGTTTGATCGCGACGCCCTCCACCCGCGCATACTCTCGGGCAGTGTCCACGTATTGTGGCTTGCATAGCGCGTGGCCATTTTCACCTACAGAAAACCCTCGATTAGCAGCGATAATCGATCTCTCGGGCAGTGTCCACGTACATGACGATATTACCGGTATTCGGCATGCAAGGCTAGAGTGCTCGGGAGTTGTGGCGTACTAGTACAGGTTGTAGTAGTTTTGCAAATGGCCACGACATGTCACGGACGCTACAACAGACAGTCCGCGTGTTCGGGAGCATCGAACGTGCACTCGTTTTCGTTGAAACATTCGCGTTGATCTTGACGAGCACAAGAAAGCAAGGCCAGACGGTCACTAGGTCGCCAACGAGTGCCAGTGCTGTCAATAACGTCGGGCGTTTGTGCAGTGTACTAACTATACACTAGTACGAAACCCGAACGTGCGGTCATGGCTGCGGCCAACGAGATGAGCCCTATCCCTGCAGCCTCGTCATGGTCATGGACGCGGGGTGCTCTCTCGTGGGCCAAGCTTGAATAGCAAACTGGCTCCATGGCCAGAAGAGCTTCAAGGACACGACGGTTGCACATCGTGGCGGACCGGCTGCGCAGGCACTGCCGACTACCTTTCTGCCATCTATGGGGAGAAGACGTTTTTTAAGCATGCGAGGGATGCGTCGATGACTGTATCGTAGATTAGGGTTTATATGTGTATCTTCTTCGAGTACTATGACTCTAGACGTTTAGGACGATGGCGACTTGCCGATGCGAGGTGATCGGGAGCTGCGACGCGCTGCGAAAAAGCCACGATTCATCGTATCCGGATGATTCGCTCGTATCCGGTCGATGGGTGCAGGAAGTGACTGGGTCATTCTCGAATTGACCTTGACCTCGCCGACGACGATGGCTGCCAACACGACTGTGACCCACACGTGGACCTTGGACTCGACCGCGCTCTCGGGCCTCAAGCTCAAGCTGCCCGGCAACGGCTTCGTGTCCGTCTCGTCGGACGCCAAGTCGCTCCGCATCACGACGACGACGAGCTCGCAGGCGGCGCTGGACGCGATGCTCCTCGCCACGGACGTGAGCACGCCGACGCTGACCGTGTCGACGCCGGGCTTTACGGCGTCGCCGGAGCTCGAGTTCATCACGCAGGTGCAAGCGCCGCCGGGCCTCTTCAACACTATCGAGTGCGCCGGTGCCGGCGACTGCATCGTCGAGCCCGGTGTCCTCTTCACGACCGAAGACGTCACGCTCGCGGCGTCGGGCGCTGGTAGCTTGCTCGTCTCGACGGACGAACTTCTCTTGCGCTACGCCAACATTGAGGCCTCGGGGTCGGGCGACATTCAGTGGACCACCGGTCGCTTCGTCGCGCAGGCGGTCAACGTCAACCACCGCGGCAGTGGCGCGATTGCGTTCGAGACGACGTCCGAGCTGCTTCCCGGTGTCCTCACGACCAAGATCGCTGGCTCGGGCAGCGCCTTCTACAAGGGCAACCGCTTCGACGCGCCGACGGTCGCATCGACGATCTCGGGGGCGGGTAGCATCAACTTCCTTCCCACGGGCGTCTGTGGCAACCACACGATCACGAGCACGGGCTCGGGCAACGTTTACGCCGGCGCCATCGTCTGCGACAACACGGACGTCACGCTCGGCGGCATCGGCGGTGCGCTTGTCGACGTCTTGAGCACGCTCACGACGACGGTCACGGGCTCCGGCACCGTCGCCTACGTCCACGACGTGCCGGCGACGCTCAACGCGACCAGCGACAAGGCGACGGCGACCAAGGCCGAAACCAACTATGTCAACTCGTTCAATCTGCATGCGACGCCGGAAGAGGTGATTGCGGCCGTCGGCACGCCGCGCCCGATCGCGACGCCGGCGCCGATCGTGACCAACACCAACGGTGGCCACGCGCTCACGGGCGATACCGACGCCGATGGCGGGTTCAGCTTCCTCTGGTTCTTCCTCATCCTTGCCGTCGTCCTCGTCGCGACGCTTGGCTTCTTGAAGCGCTACATGGACAAGAAGAAGCAGGCTCAGTATGCCCCCGTCAAGTAAAGCGTTTGCTGTGACCCTGTAATAATCCCTACTCGTTACTCGTGTGTCTTCTTGAGGTACTATCTCGTCCGCTGCCGCCCATGTCCTCGAGTGACACCATGCTGCCAGCACACATTTGGGATAAACGGAAAAACCGTCGGGACAAACATGGTTCGGTGGGATAAATGGCGTTTGGCCCAAATCTTCCGGATAATGTGGGTTTGCATCCGGATTACCGCAAGCCACCATCATGGCAACGCCGAGATGGACCGCCGAGTGGCGGACCGACGTCCGCGCGCTGGTTTGTCGCCTGGATGCGACGAGCGCCGACGTTGACGAGCTCCTCGTGGACCACTACATCCGTAGCCTCCATGCCCACAGCTACCTGGACGTGAACCCGAGCCAGGTCAAGCAGCGAGCATGGGGTCTCATCGAGACGCTCCAGTTCCACCACCGCGACCGCCACGCCGAGCGGCTCGCCGACGTCCTCTTTGGCTCGAGCGACGCAAAGATGGGTCTGCAGATCTCGCCCGAGATCACGGCGGTGCTCTTGCACCTCGCGACCGCACCCACCGCGCTCACTGAGGCCGACCTCGATGACATTGAAGCGATTCGGGTCGGCGGCGCATCCCGACGGACAATGGCCGACCAGGCACGCGCTCGCGCCAAAGAAGCCACGCGCGCGCTCGTCGAGGATCTCAAGCAACTGACGTTGGAGGACGACTGGTTCCAGCACAGCGACGACGACGACGACGAGAGTGCGTGGTCCAACGACGATCTTCCATCATCTGCGCCGACGCAGCCCGCACCGATCAAGCGCCTCAACCTGCCGGTCGCGTCGTCGCCACTTCACGATGCTTCTAGCGCCCGAGCGACGAGCAATGAGGTTCCAGAGCTCACGCCACCGGAACCACCCGTCCCCACGCCCGAGACGTACGGCGTCCACAAACCCTGGCTCTTTTACCAGCAATACCGCGAGACTCTGCACCAACTTAAACTCCCCGCACTTGCTCAGACGGTTGTTTCCGAAGCGGACCTCGTCGCCGATGCGATCGCCGCGCTTCTCGGTGTGCCGTCCACGACGTATTCGCACTCTTGGACGCTGCCTTCTACATGTCCCTACATTGCCCGCCAAGGGTTCTGGGCAGATATGCAGCTCGTCCAGTTTGAGCTCAGCGCCGTCGGCCGTACGCTCGCCGTCTCGCATCTGACGCCAAGCAGCTTGCACAATCTGCTGCTCCGGTTCGCTTCGGCGGCGTCGTCCTTGCGCTTTCTCGATGGTCTCGGGATACATTTGACGCGCCTCGATGGCTGCTCGACGCTGCAAGGCTTTGGGCATGCGCTGCAGCAGTGGGTACGCTCGTTTCGGCGCGCGCTCGTCTTCTACCAAGCCAATGACACGTCGCCGACGTTGCTGGCGACGCTGACCGCCCACGACGCATCGCTGGAAGAGCTCCGCTGGCTCTTTGAGTGGACGTCGACACTTCTCACCGAGGCGTTGGGCCAAGCGACGCCGATGTTACCGGATGTTACCGCCGCGCTCCTCAATGGGATCGCGCGGCTCCTCGAACAGTACTCGGTCCTGGGTCTACCGCGCCCGTATGCACTGCTTTTGACCGTGTTCGAGTCGACGCTGCGACCGTACGTGCGTGCGCTCTACGACTACGTCCGCGGTCGCCCGTTGCCCGCCGACGTTGCGCTCACGTCGACCACGACGTCGGCGTTCGAGACCCTTTTGCTCGCGTCGATCGGCGCAGCACCGACGACGGACGTCGCGCCGCCCGATTTTCTGACGTCGGTCGTCGGTCTTTTGGTCGAAACGCACGCGTACGCTCGCCTCTCGAGCACGCTGCACGCTCCGCCGCCGTCGTTGCCGTCGTTGCCGGTGCAAGGACCAGCGCGACGGAACCATCGACGCCGACGCAGGCACCGGTGCAGTCGACGCTCGGCGAGGCGCTTTTGCATCACACGACGACCGCCTGTACGAGGTCGGAATCCGCGCTGTCGTCTTACGATGTATAGGCATGCCAAGTAGCTTCTTACCTCGTCAGCCTCCCGTCGACGCACGCGAGGACCCTTGGCAAGCGCAGTTCGCACCCTCCCGTACGTACATCGGCCAACCAATGACAGCTCTCATGTGCCTAGTCCCACCCATTTGCTTTGAAGCGATCTTGCACGAGCGCATCGTGCTACCGCTGCACCGTCACGTATACTTGGTTTCGATTCGTTATGATGTGGACAACTTGTCGTCGTCTAGTGCTTGGACCTCGGACACACGTTTGCGCGGCAGTTTGTGTCCGAGTACAATCTCATCGCGCACCTCGACACTCTGCGCTGGTTTGTGCTGCAGCAGCAGGCCGACGCTTCGATCCACTTGACGTCACGACTTTTCAAGCATTTATTTTCCAACGTGCACCGATCGCGCTGGCTCGAGCCGTATACGCTCAACCTGCTGCTGCAAGAGACCTTTCTCCATGCACCCGTACGACCGTTCATTATCCCACATCAAATTGGCCAGAAATCTCAAAAATCGCATCGACATATCCTAGGACAACTATCGAGTCGACGCCTGCCTCGACGAGCTCTCGCTGCAGGTCGTCCCGACCACCGACGTCAGCGCCGTGCCGTCCATCACGTGGTTCGAGCAAATGGAGTTTTGCTATGCGCCGCCGTCGCCGCTGCACCTCATCTTTCGGGAGGAGACGATCCGAAAGTACTCGGTCCTCGGTGTCTTCTTTCTCCAGGTAGAGATCGGAGGACGCATGCTTCGTCAGTCTCATCTTCTTGATGGCTTGCTAGCTCCAAGGCGTCGAGCGCTACGTCGTGCAGGTACCTTTTTAGTATCAACGTATCAAGTGATCACCATAGTTGACCAGTTCAAGCACCAACTGCGACACCGTGTGGGCTATTTCATGTGCGCATCCTGTTGTCGAACGAGATGATGATGAAATATCTCTGGATAGGGCCACGCAAGAGCTGCACGTGCACGTGTTGCGCCTGGCCGAGATGCTCCATTTTGTGGAGAGCATTCACGGGTATGCAGCCCGCGCGGTAGGACAATCTAGTCGTGGATTGCTCGTCTTACTGCCATGTTGGTAGACGTCGGAAGAGCACTGGGAGGCTGTCAAAGCCGCCGTGACGAGTGCAAGCCGCGTCTCTGAAGTCGTCTTGAGAGCGATGGGCGTGTCTCATGGGACTGTAGATGAGCGATGCGATCGATAGCTGCTTGCAGCGCATGCTTGAGCGCTGCTTCCTCGGCAGCAACCAGCTTTCGATCCACAAGTACATTGTATCGCTGCTGCACCACGTGGTCAACTATGTCGTACACTTTGACGAGTGTTTGCGCGACCTCGAGCGATCGTCCGGTGCGTCCACGCGGCGATGGAGAATATGACAACTTTTGTGTCTAGATGCATCGGCCACCGACGTCTTGACGGCGCTTGCGGCCAAGTTTTCATTGGGCCACCACTATTTGCTGCTGATTCTGCGCACCATGTTCAAGACGGGGTCGGCGCCCCACTTGCAGCATCTCATGCTCGACCTCAACTTTAACGACCACTACGCCGAAGACGACGAGACGAGAGCATAGATGGATAATGCATGCATGCGTTGTTGGACGGAGTTTATCCGTCTCGAGGTAGTTAGTCGATAGTTAGTCGCGAGGTAGTTGATAGTTAGTCGATAGTCAGTCGGTAGTCAGTGGGTAGTCAATGGATGTAGTACTAGTAGCGAGGATGTCGCGAGGAAGTCATTTGTTTCCGTGGAGGACCTTGCTGCAACTAGCAACACGTCGTGGACCCGAAGAGGCTCCAGAAGCAGCTGCAAATCTTGTTGATTGTTCGATCCGACCATGCCAGCGTATTGCAGCTGGGATAGAATACCACATTCAATGTCTACTACTACAAAACAAAGTGTCCTACAATTAGCTATATGAATCGATCTCTCTGGTGTGTCGGTACATTGTGCAACACAAAACTCGAAACAAATTGCTAGGAGCTATCCCGCCGCCGGTGGGCTATGCTGCGCGACGACAAGGCAGCTCTGGCGCGCTCGAGGTGCTGCAACGCGGTTGCGCACGTCGCTTCGAGTGACGCAATCGTGTTGGCGTTCACGCGACCGATGTTGGGCCGTGTTGGCAGCGTAAAATACGGTCCATACCTACGCTCCCGCCGCCCTTGCACCACAACACCGTCGAAATGTACGTACTTGTCAAAGTACTCGTGCTCCGGAATCGTCGTTGGCAAGTTCTCTTCGACACCGAGCAGCGTCGCCGTCACGTGCGCAAACGTTCGGGCGGCATCCGGTACATGGTAGCCGCCGCCGCCGAGGACCAAGAGCGGCAGCTCGAGCTCTTGCACGACTTGCACACACCAACCAATCCCCTCGGCCGTGAGGTTGAACGTGCCCAACGGATCACTACATACATACGATACCAACCAGCGTAGAAAGCATCATGGCTGTACCTTCCAAGGGTGTCGACACCGCACACGAGCACAAGGTGCGTCGGTGCAAAGACGTCGGCGGCCGTCGCCGTCAAGAGCTCAAACACTTCGAGAAACTGCTCGTTCGTGATCCCGTCGGCAAGCGGTACGTTGAGATTCGTGTGTTTGCCAGGACCTGCGCCGATGCGGCTCGGCGCACCCGAGTTGGGAAAGAAGCCGCGGGCGTACTTGTGGAACGACATGGTAAAGACGCGCGCGCTGTAGTAGTAGGCCTCTTCGACGCCGTCGCCGTGGTGAACGTCGATATCGAGCACGAGTACTTTGGCCGACGGTGACGACCGGAGGAGGACGTCGACGGCAAGCACAACGTCGTTGACGTAGCAAAAGCCGCTGGCGGATGCTTTCTTGGCGTGGTGTCGGCCGCCGCCCCAGTGCACGGCGACATCGACCGGACGGGCGGGCGAGCTTAGCGTCAAGAGCGTCGCTGCCGTGATGGAACCGCCCGCCACGTAGGCGCAATAGCGCTCGAGGCCATCGAAAGCGCATGCGTCGTCCGTGAGGCTAAACTCGAGCTGCTCGTCGAGTGAGAGCGTCGGCGCATTCTGGAGCGCCGCAATGTACCGTGGCGCGTGGAAGCGGGCGAGATCGGCGTCCGTGGCGGGCGTCGGCGCCACGACGTGGAGGCGATCGAGGAGGCGCAGGTGCTGCAGCAGCGAGAAGGTCATGACCTCGCGCTGCGGGTGCACCGGCAGGCGCGAGATCGCCCGGGCGTAGTCGCTCGAGAAGACGACCGCCATTGGCGCCGTGGCCATCGGACAGCTCACCGGACGAGATATGCAATGGTCACTTGTGATTGGCTGGCTTTGTACGATGGCGTTGTTTGATTGGCTGAAATTGTATCCGAGCCAATGCGAAATCCAAGATCTTAGTGGAGGTCGACAACACCTGCCGTCAACCTTTGAGGTAGTCGACCCATGCATGCAATTACCTTGCAATTACCTTGCGTGCATCGGACATGGTCGCCGCGGACTCCAAACATACAGGGCCGCGGCCTGTGTCTCATTGGAGCTACATTTGTACCGTGGATCTTTTCAACCATTGGTACTAGTAGGTGCGAAAGGCGGCAATACGCTTTTGAAATGAACGATATCGATTATCAATATACATGTGCTCTAACGCTGCTACGGGCCCGTGACGGCGACGTAGTTGCTGGTCACGCCAGGCGTCTTGCGGCGGCGGCGGCAACACCCCTTCTTGGTCAGCACGCGGTCGTCCTCCTTCTTTTGCTTGCTCGCAAACTGGTTGAAGATCGTCTCGAGCGACGTCTGCGCGACGCTGTACTCGGCGACGCGCAGCGTGGCCTTGGCGTCTTCGATGACCCCGAAGATCTGCGCGAGGCTCACGTGCACTTGGATGCGGGCGAACGTGCCTTGGCGGCTCAGCACGCTAAAGCGACCGTGGACACTTGCGAGCTGGGCGAGAAGCGCGTCGTGCTGGTCCTCGACGAGCCACCAGCTGGCAAACGTCTCGGCGCCGATCGCGCCGTCAGCCTCGAGCGCGAGCGCAACGAGCCGGCCCGTGTCGTGGTCGTGGTCAACAAATGCCATGCGGTGGGGCTGCTTGAGGCGGGTGCACGCGGCTTCGACGTCGGCCCACGAGAGCGACGGCGGCAACGTGTTGACAAGCATTTCGACCTCCGATGCCGTCGGCAAGTGCTGCTTGATGTCGAGAACGAGGCCGTTCCCGAACCGGTGCTTGAGGTGCTGGATGCTTCCGAGGCACTCGAGCTGGCCGCTGACCATGATGCCGACGCGCGAGCACAAGGCTTCGCACTCCTCCATCGAATGGGTCGTCAGAATCACCGTCGACTCGCGCTGCGTCGTCGAAATGTCCGAGATGAGCTCCCACATGAAGCGGCGCGAGACCGGGTCCATGCCCGTCGACGGCTCGTCGAGGATGATGATGGGCGGCGACCCGATCATCGCGATCGCGACCGACGTCTTGCGCTTGTTGCCGCCGCTGAGGTCGCCCGCAAGCACGTGCTCAAACGGCTGCAGATGCAGCTTGTGCAAAAGCGACGTGACGGCGGTCGATGCACTGGCGACGTCAAGACCCCGAAGCGCCGCGTAGAGCTCCAAGTGTTCGCGGACCGTCATCGTGTCAAAGAGCGCATCGAACTGCGGGCAGTAGCCGACGAGGCTGCGCGACTCGGTTTGCTGGCTGTAGACGTCGTAGCCAGCGAGGTACGCGGCGCCGGCCGACGGTGCGACTTGGCCCATGAGCATCTTGAGCGTCGTCGACTTGCCGGCGCCGTTGATACCGAGGAACCCAAAGCACTCGCCCTTCGGCAGGCCCACCGAGAGGTCTTGGACGGCAAGGAATCCGTTCGAGTAGACTTTTGGAGGCCGTGGGTGACCACCGCGTGGGCGTCGATCGACGCCTTGTTGGACGCAAGTGCACCGATGCGGTCGTGTTCCGCCTGGACGTCGACGTTGAGCACCGGTGTCGTCACGGCTGCTTTCGCCGACGCGTTCTTCTTGTGCAGCGACTTGGTCGAGACATACTCGACAACGAGGACGAGGATGGTAAAGATGACTGCAGTCGCCGCCAGATACAGCATGTCGTTGCCCGCAACGGCGCTGTCAAAGGCCTCGGCGCGAACAAGCGTCGGCGAGCCGTCGGCGGCGACGGCCGTGACGTTCTTGGCGGTCGAGATCTTGTCGAGGGCGTGGCCGGCGGCAAAGAGCGGGAAGAGACAAAAGCCCGGCGAGAGGTCTGTGTCCAACATGGTCTTCATGAGCAAGTGCACGATAAAGAGGATGAGACCGGTCGCCAAGTGGAAGAGAATCGCAGTGTTCTGCGCCGACGCGTGCTCTTGCAGCAGAAACGACACGAGGTACGTGAGCGGCACGAGCGCGAAGCCGAGGAGACCAAAGATGACGACGACGGCGGTAAACGCGTGGGCGACGGTCGACGCCGAGTTTTGAAAGGCCGTGACACCAAACGCCTGGATCATCGCGAGCGCCAAGACGAAGAGCACGAGGTACGAACCGAGGTCCCAGACATAGTTGGCGGCCCAGAACAAATGCACCTTGACGCCGGACACGAGCTGCTGGTGCTTGGCCGTGAGCTGCTTCTCCTTGACGAGGAACGTCATGGCGGCGCCCGGAAAGACAGCAAAAGCAGTGAGGAAGAAGAGGTTGGCCGTGAACCCGATTGTTTGGCCCCACTGAGCCTTGTGTGCCTTCCGTCGCGCCGCCTCGGTGCGCGACGCCGGCAGCGGGTACGAGGCCACGGTAAGCGAAATGTCGTTGGTACCAGCGAGCGACCGAAGCAGCGCTTGGTCCATCTGCACCTTGTAGATCGCGGACGCGTGGTCGCCACTCGAGTTGGCAAAGATGCTGTAACTAAACACGTTCGTGTCGGCGGTGACGATGTACGCACCCATTTGCGCTTGCATCGCGGTTCCGTCGAGCAGCGCCTGCGCGAATCGGAGCACGGTGGCGTTGACGCTCGAGACATTGAACGACGGCGGCGAGTACGTCACACTAAAGACGTCGGGGCTCGACGACGAAAAAAGCGGCGTCGAAAAGGTCGAAACGCGCTTTGTCGTAGCGCCCGAGAAGCTACTAAAGACGCGCGTGCAGCCGCTGTTGACGTCTGAGAGACAGTAGTACGGCGCGGCCCGCACCGGGTACTCGGTCGTCAATAGCGGAAGGCGCGGCTCGGCAGCTTCCAACGTACTGGCATAGATCAGCTTCATGGTCCCAAACCCAGTCGCGAGGAGGAGTGCCGGGAGCAGAACCGCGATGAACAGTGCCTTCTTGTCCCGCTTGGCCACGTGAAAGCGCTTCTTGAGAAGGGCCATGACTTGGCTCCGGCGGCCCGCCACCACGGTCGGTGCGGTCTCGCGATCGGACGGCACGCCCGAGTCTTCGAGAATCGGCACGACGATATCGCCGGTCGTTGCTGTCGCAGTCGTGACGTTGATAAAGACATCTTCGAGCGTCGTGACCGAGACACCGTACGAGGTGACACCGACGTCTGCCATCTGCGTGTCGAGGGCGCGGAAGAGACCGGGAAACGCCGACGCATGGTCCGTTGGCAGCTGGAACGCGACTTCAGCCGCGACGTTCGAGTGCAGCGTCGCCGACGGCACAAACGCATGCACAAGATGCTCGAGATCCGAAATGTCGACGTCAGCGTGGGCCTTGACAAGCGTCAGCGTGTAGCCAGCACCGAACCGGTTTTTCAAAAACAGCGACGAGCCGACGCACCGGAGCGCGCCGTCGGCCATGATGGCGATGCGGTCGCCGAGGACGTCGGCTTCTTCCATGTAGTGCGTCGTGAGGATCATGACACGCCCCGCTCGGTTGCGCAGAAGAAGGTCCCACATGCTCCGGCGACTGTACGGATCCATACCCGACGACGGCTCATCGAGGAAGACGAGCGCACTCCCGCCGATGAGCGCGATGCCGACCGAGAGCTTGCGCTTCATGCCGCCCGAGAGTGCGCTCGCCTGGACGTGGGCCTTGTCTGTGAGACCGACGTCGTCCAGCATGGCGTCGACGACCGCCATGTCGAAGTGCCCCTTGATGCTGGCGTAGAACGACAGGTGCTCACGGACGGTAAGGTCGTCGTACAGAATGTCGTGCTGCGGGCAGACACCCAGGTACTTGCGGAGTGCGGCGAGATCGTTACCCAAGTCCAAGTGCCGGAACGACGCCGACCCAGACGTCGGGCGCAGCATGCCCGTGAGCATCGAGATCGTCGTCGTCTTGCCGGCACCGTTGTGGCCGAGAAGACACGTGATCTGCCCTTCGTACATGGCCATATGGAGGTCGTCGACCGCGACTTTGCCTTTGCCAAACGCCTTGCGGAGACCGAGCACTTGAAGCGCACGGCCGTCGGCTTCTTGCGCCTGCAGCTGTGCGTCGACGGCTTCCATGTTACGGTTCGCGGTCGTCGTCTTGGTATGCGACGCCGTCGCGCCCGTGGCCGCCGACGTCCAGTAGCGCTTTGTGATGGGAAAGTTCCATGGGTGTCCGTCGTTGAGCTGCTCGACGTACGCACCAAGCAGCGTGAAAAGCACAAAGTCGGCCAGCAGCATGCAAAAGCCAGTGCGGAGCGAGTATTGCCGGTGTTCAAAGCTCCCGATCGCACCGAGCGAGATGCCGGTGGCAATGTACTCGGCCTGCATGATCACTTGCATCGAGAACGTAAAGGCCGTCGGCGGCAAGAGCGACGCCACCGCCTTGATAGTCGCCGACGAATTGTCGTTGAACGCGAGCGAGACACCGGCGCAGAGCAGAAAGACGAGCTGCGCGATGTTGGCGCCGGTTTTCGCCGACGCAAAGAGGCTCGAGAGAAAGTAGCCAAACGCAATGCACGCGAGCCCAAAGCAGACGTAGAGCAAGAGGAGCACGAGAGGACTTGAAAACGTGAAAAGCGTCCAGCACCCGACGCCCATCTGGAGCAGCGCACCGAGGAAGAGCACGACGCCGTATGTCATGTACCACGACACGACGAGCGCCGTCGGCGAAAGCCCGAGCGCCTGCATGTACGATTTGGCGCGCGTCTCCTTCTCGAGCACCAAGCTCGTCACGAGGCGGCCAAACACGAGCACCGAAAAGAGGAGGAATGTCACGGGCAGAAACATCGGCATCGTCGACCGGTCGCCGCCGAGGAACCACTGCTCCGTGATGCCGCGCCCCGGCATGTCGTAGCCGGCACTGAGGACGTGTGGTTGCGGCTGCAAGCGCAGCGGCGCAAGCAGCGACGCCGTCGTCGTCGACGGAAGCGACGACCAGTCTTGTGCTACAACGGGTTTGCCGCTCTGGCGCAAGCTAGAGAGCGCATGCACCCACACGTCCTTGTTGGTGGCATCGAGGGACGCCGGGCCCACCGCGGCCGACTGCTGGCATCGCCCCGTCGTCGTCTGGTTTGCCGCATGCCAGTCAGGGCGACACGTTGCAAAGCGCGTGACGAGCGTCTGCAATGTGAAGAAGCCGCGCTCCGTGTACGTGTTGCGGGCCGTCGACGACACAAACGTCCGGTACGGCACGTAACTGGTCGTCGTCGTCGGCACAGCGCTCGCGCCGTCGCCATAGTTGTTGACGGGGAAACGCAAGTTGTAGTTGAGCGACACGGGCGTCCCAATCGCCGCGTCCGTCGGTGCGTCCGAGAACACGACGGCTGCGGCGACGATCGGGTCGTACGAGTTGGCGTTGAGCGCGGCCCCGTTCGCGTCGGTCTGGTTGCCGTAGTTGCTGCCTTGAATGTACGCTTCGAGTGCCGTCTCGGAAGGAAAAAACACCACCGACGTGTCCGAGAGACCCGGCAGCGTCACCGACCCGTCCGTCGCCAGTGGGACCTTCACGGACGGGTACCACTGCTTGAGCGCACCGAAAAAGTACTTGCGCGTAAACGCCGTGTCGGGTACGATCGCGAGCTGCGGCGGGCGACACGCAAGCGACGGCGCCGGTGCCGAGAGGAGAAGGTGGTTTTTGCATTCTTGCGAGAGCAGCGTGGTGTCGTATGAGTACGAATAGGCCGAGCCTTCGCTGTACCAGTTGTAGAGGAGCGCTTGCACCGGCGGCTCCCGAGCGCTGTGGCCGTCAAAGAGCGTACGGTCATCGTATCCCGGCTTGGTGACCTTGATTGGCTCGCCGCTGTCGAAATTCGACTTAAGAAGCGACAAGAGGATCAAAAACACCGTCGGGAGCACAATCTCGAAGAAGACAGCTATCGGATGGCGGCGCTTGAGCGCCAAGTTCTTGCGCAGGAGCGGCCCAAGGTGCGTCATGGAGGAGGCAAATGGAATTATAACGTCACGAGTGCTCACGTGCCAAGCATTACACGTTGCTGTCTGTCCACGATTGCGGCGGCGGCAGAGGCTGTTGGACACGGCTGGATATAGAATGATGGTGATGGACACCGGAATGTATGTGAAAAGTAACTGTCTGTCAACATCTGTTTGGTGTGTGGACCCAAGGCGCCCTTTCTAGGCCGATGATCAAGGTCTGGGTCCGATGAAGGAGAAGGCTTGAAGTCGGAGTGTACGACCTGCTCGTCGCTGTCCTTGAGACTTGGAGCGACGCCGTCGAGGTGTCCTAGAACCAGTGTCCTAGAAATCAGTTTTTGAGTGGTGTTGAGAAAGGTGCGGCCGAGCCAGCGCGAAAAATCCGTTGACATGACCACGAGACAGTGGCGATTACTGTACCAGCCGCAAACGCTGCGGTGGACACTGGCATGGTTGGATTCATTACATGCGTGGTGTGGTACTGTCCTTTATACTATTTGAGAGAGTGTGTCCGGGTACATTTGCACGGGACGCAAGTTGAACTATGCATCGTGCCATAATAGCTACTGGAGCTCCTCCGCATCTGGTATGCGAGAGCTTGGCGGCAAATTTGTCTGGACCGCCTCTTCCATTTCGCCCCATTCAGTGTACTAATCCATGGTACAGTAATAACCCTGCTGTGAGAAATGACCAGCTTCATCAAGTATGGATACACTAGAGCACCTCGGTACGATCGTGGCTCCAAAACGCCACACCCGAGCTCGACAACAAACAGATCCATGTATATAGCCCGCGCTAAATGCAGCGGCCGACTTCCTCGATTTCAATTTCGGCGATGCGTCCTTTGCGCGCCCGCTTGAGGACCTTGAACTGCGTGCCGGGCGCGAGAAGGCACTCCTTTTCGTTCGGGTACATGGAGAGCACCGAAATGTCCATCGCCGTCGTGCACCGGACGCTCAGGAGCGTGCAGCTGCCACCGCAACTGTTCATAAAGCCACGGGCAACGTTCTCGTCCGATGTCGTGCTGCTCACGCCCCACCACGTAATGACCTTGCCTTCCTCGTATTGGTCGAAAAGGTCGACGCTGATCTACACCAGTGGTCATTATGAGCCTTCGCGATCCTCAAGAGTTGCGTGTTTGTACCCCACGCCAGAGCACTTGCGACTTTTTGGGCATGTAGTTCATCGCCTCCATAAAGAGTCGCAAATACTTGAAGTAGCGCTTGACTGCTGCCCGGTTCTCCGATCTGCACCATCGTATATGAAATAAGAAATCACTTGCAGGAGGTGCATACCGAAGGGCATTGTTGAGCTCTGCGTAGATCCAGTTGCCCGTGTACAGCACGATCGAGCCATAGAGGTCCTAGCTCAATCCAAGTCAGTGAGCCACCGACACGCACGATCGCATATCGACGACGCACCTTGTCCATGGGTTTGACCGGCGCACCAGCGTTCGAGGCCACGAGCTGTTGGCCCCGGCTTTGGCACTGCTTGACGGCGCTCGCTTGACAAATACCGGCGGCCGCAATACCGAGGTTTTCGGGCTTTGGCAGGTCCATAAGCCCTTCGATCGGCGCCAAGTGCGTCTGCTCTTCCATGTCATCAAAGCCCATGCGCAGCCAAAAGTCTACATCATTGTCATCATGAGAAGGATACCAACCAGCCAGTGACAGCGTACCTAGGAGCGCTTCCTTTTCTTCAACAAGTGCGAGCGTGTTGAGCGGCGGCGGTCGTTGCCGCCCCGACAGCGTCGGAATGAGCGAGTAGTACTGTCCCGAGAGCTGCGTGATGAGCGCGGACGATGGCTTCCCCGTCAGAGATGTCTTGAGTTGGGCAAGGACGGCCTGACCCTTCTCGATCTGCGCCGCCGATAGCTTGCCCATGGCTGCGTCCGAGTCGCCACCACCTACCACACGCCTTTCTGTAAGACGACAAAGGATACCATGTTGCGTGACATACCGTCGCCCGTCTCGGACGCGTCGAGCTCGACGAGCTGGTACTGCAGGTCGTGCTTGACAAACGCATGACGCTGGTGCCAGTCGTTCTTGGTCTTCTCGCGAAACTTCTTTTCAAAGAGCGCGATCGCCTTGTCGACGTCGCGCCCAAAGCCCTTGAGGTTCTGTTGACCGGCCTCGCCGAGACGGCCCCAGCGCGTAAAGACGTGGAAGCTCGAGTCGGCCGTCGCTTGGAGCAGCTGGATGATGTAAAACTTGTTGTTGTTGTGGCCAATGTTGGTCTGCATGAGGTCGGTCGAGTAATCGTCGAAAATCTCAAACTTCTCGCGCGTCGACAAGTGCTTGTCGGGCCGACGCGCGCCGCGGCGCTCGCCCAACGCCGGCGGGGGGTCACTGGTCTCTGCCTTGACGGCCTCGGGCTTGACGGTCTCTGCCTTGGGCTTCTTTGCGGGCGGAGCCGCTTCGTCCTTGGCCGCGCGCTTCTTCTTGGCCGCTGGTTTTTCTTCAAACTCGTCCTTGACGGCCACGGATGCCGGCGCGGCGCCCGAGAGCGCGGCCACGAGCTGCGCTTCGGTCCAGATCAACACCCCTTGCGCGGCCGCGGTCTGCGTCTTCTTGCCTTCGGTCCCGTCCGCCGCGACGAGAATCGACGTCTTCTTCGTGACCGTCGACGACACGGTTCCGCCGGCCGCGACGATTTGCGCGGTCGCGTCCGCCCGGGTCATGGTCGCGAGCTTCCCCGAGAGCGCAACGACCTGGTCCTCCAAGGCCGAGGCCGCCGCCTTTCCGTCCAGCGCCTCGACAAGAGCATCTTCCATCCAGATCTTGATCCCGGCGGCGACCGCGTCCTTGTACTTCTTGCTCTCGTCGCCCGCGGATGTCACGAGGAGCGTCGTCGCCTTGGTCACCGAGGACGAGACCGAGCCGCCCGCGGCCTGGATGCGCTTCGTGGCTTCGGCCCGGGTCATGGTCTCGAACTTCCCCGAGAGCGCGACTACTTCCCCACTCAATGGCATCTTCGTGCTCGCTCCGCGGCCAAAATGGAAATATCCTGGCAAACCCGCCGTTGGATCACCTCCGCTAACCGGTTTTCAAAGCCGGTGTGTCGGCTACGAACCCCATTGGATGGCAACACATGGCATCGAAACGACAGCGTGAGTGAATGTCATTGTGAGTGGGGGTCTTCTGTGTCGTTTCAAACGTCTGTTTCCAACAGTGTTTTAAACGTAGCCCGTAAGGTGCTCTATTTTTTAAATAGGTACTCGGTTTTTGTACTAGCATGAATTAATTAAAAATCATAATGTTTTAAACATACCAGTCTTGTGTTTTGTATGAAAGTATGAAATACGGAGGCAGCTCTGTGTCATGCGATAGTACCAGTACAGTAGCTGCCACGTCAATTCGTCGACGACAGGAAGGACAACTCTTGTCTCGACGCTGCGTAGCCACCTCCAACGACAGTAGCACGAGCTCGCACGAAGCGCACGGCTACAGACGCAATCCCTCGATCCGCGCCAACGCGCTCGTTCGAGTCCAGTCCCAACCCGCGTAGCAGCCAAGGTCCATACAGTAATAGCTCGTTCGATGGCTGTGGCCTCGGCGTGCATTATTGTCAAAGATACTACATGTATTGTATCATCTGCAGAGTGTTGCCTTGTGCAAGGGCAACGAACATCACTCTTCCAAGATTCCGGCGTCGAACATGCGGTGGCGAGGTTGTCCAGTTGTGGTGATCTTCTCCCTCCTTGCGTCCGCCAGCTACGGGCTACCAGACGCGCCTGCGCGGCGCGATGCGGCGGTGATGCTGCAAGCCACGATGGCGATAGCGCGGGGCGACCTATGGTCCGCATACCAAGCAACCGCCGATGCAGTCACCACATGCGCCGATGCGAACTCGGTGCGCTGCGTTGGCCAGCTCTTTGCGCGGGCGCGCGTGCTTGCCGCACTCGACCTGCCAGCGTCGGCATGCCAAACCATGGACGCAACTGTGCGCGCAACGGATGGCTGGCATGTAGCCGCATGCGACCATGTCCGCCAACGCTGCAATACCACGTCGTCACTCTGCAACGACGCGATGGACGTAAGTACTTTTGCATCGGCGTGCATACGTGTATATCTGTGGTTAGGCAGCTAGAAGTGTCGAGCAGCAACTCGAACAGGTGTCGTCGACGTACGGGCAGCTCAAGCAGCTCTATTCGCGCATCTCTCGGACTCCGTTGGCACTGTCTCTTGTGGCACGGCTCGGCGCGATCCTTGGCGTAAACGGCTTCAAGAACGAGGCCATTGAAGCATATGCGCGGGGGTTGGCTATGAACCCAACGCACGCACCGGCAATTGCAGCGATTCACGACCTGGCGTCGGCAGCGACGACGACGCGAGCAGTTCTATCCAGCTTTCCCGAGCTCGGACCGCTTCAGACCGCCATCCTACACGAGCACGCGCAGGGTCGACTGCACGAGGCGCTAGCTCTCAACCGCATCGCGCTCTTGCTGTTGCCGCAAGACGGGAATATGCATACCAACGCCGGCGCCTTTTACTATGAGGTGCAGTGATCTGGCATGGCCGAACCACCACCTCTCACGTCACTTGCAGCTCGGCCGCGACGACGACGCCCGGCGCCACCTACTGCAGGCGATTACCATCGACCCACGCAGCGTCCACGCGCTCAACAACTTGGCCGTACGACCGCGGCGGCGGCTCCGACGGCTCATCCATATCTGCTAGGCTGTTGACGAGCGCACGGGGCATGTCGACGCTGCACTGCAGACGTACGCAACCGTTGTCGCCTTGGCCCCCGAGTACGCACACGGTCTCTACAACTATGGCAACGCGCTGTTGAAGCGGCGGGCGTGGCAGGACGTCGTATCCCTCTACTGGCAACGACTTGGCTTCATCAATCACGTTGCCCGAATGCCGTCAATGTTGGCGATGCAGGCGCTGGTGCATGTGCTCTTGCTGGACACGATGCCGTCGCCCGTCGCCGACTGCACCCAACGACTGCTTCGCGACATCTACGATGTGAGCTTCGCACCCAACACGACACTAAGCGCATTGGCCGACGCCACGGCGGCCTACGAACGCAGTATGAATGTGATGGCGATCGCACTAGGCCACGTACGTAGCGCATCAGTCTGGTAGGGCTCATTACGACGGTAGATGCTGGGGACGCCCGGCGCCGTCTTGGACCGTGTCTGTCGGTGCGCATCCGTCGCCGTCGACGCACCACGCACCGAATCGGTGCACCTCATCGTGCAGTACTTTACTGCGTCATCTCCGGCGCGCCAGGCCGAGTTGGCACTCTGTCTTGACCGCAATCTGCAGAATCTTGCATTGGCAGCTGTCCATGTCCTAGTCGAGCACGTGGCCGACTACGACCTTCTGCTTGCATCGGTGACGCCGACAACCAAACTGCGCGTGCATGTGCTCGGCCACCGGCTATCGTTCCGAGATGCGTTTGCCTATGCCAATGCACAGGACAACGTTGACATCGTCTGGCTGCTGGCCAACGCCGACGTGTACTTTGATGCGTCCGTGGCGATGTTGCAGCAGACGACGGCGCACCAGGTAGACGGATTCGTCTAATATCGCGTCTTATCCGACATTAGGTCGTGGCGCTGAAGCGGTGGGAGCGAGGGGCCAGCGACAGTGTGTTCTTCTTGCACCCCCGCATCGACTCGCAGGACGCTTGGGCGTTCCGTGCGCCGATTTCGGGTGCGGACTTGGCGGTGCCGCTAGGCTACCCACGCTCCGACTCGCACGCCGCGTACCGGTTGCGCCAGCTCGGCTACGACGTAGTCAACTGGGGCGTCTTCGTACGCACCATGCACGTGCATGCAAGTAGCAGCCGGTTGTACACCGAGACCGAGACCATCCGGGGCGCGGACGCCTACGTGCGGCTGGCATCGTCACTGCCATCCAACTCGATATAACAAGCACGTAAATTCCATGGCAAGAGAGTCGGATCGTCGGTACCACTCAAAGTGGCAAGGATGGGCACGGGCGACGAGGCGGCGTCTCTTGGGTGTCTTGCCTGCATGATACTTCCAATCGTTGGCACCCAGTGGTGGGCACCGATGAGGCGGTACGTACCATCTGTCGTGGCCCTTGGTCGTCCCGCATGGACGGACGGCCGTGGTGCGTCGTCGTCCGACCACGTTCTGTCGCCGATCGTTCGGTACGTTGGCCCGCCTTTAGAGGCCTGTGCGAGACAGTGCATCCTACGTTGTTGATGGCAGCGGCAGGCGTCACGGGGTCGTCGCGGCTGGAAGCCAGCATCACAACCAAGCTGGTCGGTGCGAAATGAGCGTATGCGTGGCCCAGTGAACGGACGCGGTGCGCGCGCGTCACTACTTCCATCCATGCAGAAGCTTCTTCCTTTGATCAGTTTCGTTTCGTAGCTGTGTTCTTTTGCCAAAGAGCAATCATACACGTCGGCTGGGACACGACACCAGGATAACCAAGTTGGGTCGTGGTCGCGTATATCAGAAACGATGCGTTCGAATGGGTGGGTATGGCCAAGGCGCAACGTAGTAGGAACTCGTCGACCAGGTACATGGGCCCGGCAGCTGATTCGAATCCGTGGCACGGCCCTCGATGACGAGGTAGCGAGCAGCTGCGGTTGAAAGTCGCGTGCATATCACGAGCGCGTCTTTCAAGGCGCGTTAGTAGGCACCAATGCCATGGCTTGCGGTTGCTATTTCGATGAATCGACGCTGGTTTCTGCACCGAGCCGTGCTTGCGTAAAACCTTTTGTCGCTAGTTTTCTTGGCACCAGACGCGGGAGCTGCAAGCGGATGCTTCCAATCCGGCAAGAAAGCTGGCCGGTGGGAGGATAGTAGCAAGAACTTTGTTTCGTGCAAGACCCGCTGTTTGCTCAATCACGACGACGACAACGACGACGGTGGTAGATCTGATACAACGAGTATCTTTTGGCAAGCGACTTTGGCGACGAGGCTCGCACAGTTGGACGTTGCTTCTCCTGCGTCGCATGTGACCAATCGTGTAGCCATACCGACTGTGGTACCTCGGGCTTTGCAGAGAGTAGCTTTCCACGGACGTCATCGTGCCGCGGCCATGACGCCGTTGTCAACCAAACACGTGCGTCGCGCTGAAGTATACGCCGCATCAAAACCACCGCCACCACGAAGAGAGAACTCGACGAGAGGGTCTTGCGAATTCGAGCACGAGCTTTCGGCTTCGGATGATGGCTGCCATGTCCCAGGCGTGCCGGGCCTCTGCTCCACGAGCTGCTCGCATTGGAATTTGGGAGTGAAGTGCCGTGCGTTGTAAGGAAGCGGATGTAGCAATCGAGTCTGCCAGGCGTAATCCTCGCGCGTCCCCCGCATCGGACGGGGCTTGCCTTGGGGCGACGACCAAATTTTTCCCAGATGCTGATGTTCAATGGTAGCCAAATCTCTCACCAACCAGCCAGTCAAGTCAACCACAACCCAGTGTATACGTCAATGGTATACGTAAATATATATATGTAGAGCGATCAGAACACAGCGTTGTCTTCCGTGCAGTGCTCGGCCGCGTATGATTCGCGCCATTATTTTCTTGTGGCCGCCGCGTAATGTTGTTTGTCAATCCACCTTCAACGTTTCTGGTCCACGACGCACTGCTACCGAGCCTCCTCTGATACGAGTACGTACTTTGCCGTTCTTCTCTCTATCGTTTGGGCATCTACCTCAGCGCGACGGAGCTCAAGTCCATGGCCAAGGAAGAAGGAAAGAAGAAAAACACATCTAATTTGCCATCAAACGGGACGGGACGAACGGGCGGCCATAAATATACTCGCAGCGCGAAGGGGTCTAAACTTCTTCGACGGCCACGATCGCGTCGTCGCCCAGCTTCTTGTTGTCGTCGAGTGCGTCGAGGAGAAAGTCGAGGCAGACCGAGAGTGGCGGCATGGCGCTGGCCGGGAGGTTGGTCAGCGACAGCGTCAGTCGCTGCTCCTCCTTGAGCGGCACGACGTCAAACGCCTCTTCCTTGGGCGCGAGGGCGCTCAGAATCTCGTGGCGGATCATGTGCTTGTTGCGGAGACCGCGCTGGCGACGCGCGAGTTTTTCGCGGTACTTTTGTGCGTGCGTTTGCGTCTGGCGCACGGTGCGCGTCTTGACGATGTCGGCGATGCTCTTCCACGGACCCTTGGGGTACACCTCCATGGCGGCAAGGAACCGCTCGTGCTCGGCTTTGGTCCACGCGCCTTGGCCCTCGACGGGCTTCCACCCGCTCTCAAAGTCGTGGCTCGACACAATCAACATGGCTTGCGGCGTGGGAGATGGAGACACTTGTGACGCACAAGTGCAAAGTGGGAATGATGCACTTCACCACGGATCTAATACCGTCTCCGCGACACGGCGGCTCGAACATGTCTGTAGAAGGCTTTGCGGCGACCAGATGGGCACCACCAGCTGTCTTCGAGTGGCCTGCGACACGGCGGCCATGTGGCGATGGACTCTAGCGCGGTCGTTGGGGCGACACGCGACCGATTGGGACATACCACATGGGGCAAACGACGCCGATCCAAGCCGCACCTCGCATGTGCTCTGCGCTCGATCGGCTCGGATCGACGATATACAAGATGTGGAATCTCCTGTCGTCACCGCCAAGGGCTCTGAGCGAGCAACGACTGTCACCTGCGTTAAGCGGACGTGTCGTACGCGAAACATGTAAATGTAATACGCGTAGTACGCAATTAGGAGTCAAGTCTGGAGCCTTCAAGCCGTGCTTTCTGGATCTCCGGATCTGCTACTTCCGTGCCATCGTACCAGAGGCGCGGACATGACAGCGTGCTGCGTCCAAGACCGATCGTTCTTTCAGTACTGTAGCTCGTTCAAAGCAGAGAGTCGAGTGACGCGCCGTCGCCGCAGCGTTGCAGACTGCCGCGTGCGAGGTATGGGCTACCTCTTGAGCGGCGGGTTGAAGTCGTGCGCTCTTGGTTCTTCTCGCCTGGCTTTGTGGATCAGGCGCCATCATCCTTCGACACGGCCACCCACGCCGACCAGCCGCCGCAAGGTTCCAACTTGGTCCGACAGGAGTGCACATCGACGCAACCGTCCTAGTATCTATTTAGTGCAACCGTCCTGCAACGTGGATTGCCTCTTGCACGACACTCTTCTTGTGCTATCACCTCGGCAACTGCGTAAACGTGTGAGGGGTGGAGTATATCCCGTGGTTGGGAGGTTTAACCCAATGTCCCAGGAACGTGGGACAGAGGAAAATACATGTGCACCAGCCGTCCATGATACCGGTACCGGACGTGTCAGCCCGACGCAACGGCGATGCTTTCTTTGAGCCCCACGTGGCGACTAGAATAATCAAAGGCAGCGAAACATCAAGAGCGTACAAAGAAAGCATATCGCAAGCACGTGGTGCGTCAATCGTCTGATTCATTGAGGCGCGCGGTCGAACTGTATGGCTCATTTGGTTGGGATCGAAGCTGCGCGCCAAGTTGCCCTCGAGTAGCTTCTTGCAAGCAGAGACAAAGGCATGGGGATGGGTCGAAAAGCGATGTTCTATTGGATAGGCACAGGATGGGCAAGCCGTACAACACTAGATAGTAGCCTTTGCATGCACAAGGTGATTTGTGCCCCTCGACGCTCCCACACTGGTCCCTGCGTGCACGAGGTCGGCTGCGGCGCTCACCGCGCAGACGGCACGCGGCAACGCATCACAGTGTGCGGCACGGATTCAGCGACTGCAGCTGGGCCATCGTCGGTCGACAACGTGCCGTCGCGTCACTGGGCTGAGAAAAGACGGAAACAGATGCGATACTAAGCCGTCCATGTGCTATGTGTACCATCTCGGGTCGTCAACTGCGAAACAGACGTCGTGGGTTCTATTTCCAACAGGTCGCATGGGCGAGTGTAGTTGTCCAATAATGTCAGGCCGCGTTGCGTAATCGTCGTTTGCTCTCGAACGCCCTTTGCGATGCGCAGCCCTACCCGCCCCAAAGTGCACTTTGGAGTCCTTGGCGTGCGGGGGACCGCGCCATGTGGGCCACTATCTACAATCGCACCAAGTACATGAGCAATAACAACTATGAATCGTGTAGGAACCATGGCTGCATGGGAATCGCGTTGCGTGCTGCGTGGCCGTCTCACCGCGTTGGCTATCGCCGAGCTTGCCCATCGGAAATCTGATCATGTTGTCTCTGCAGCTGGCGCTGCCACGTGGAGAGGCGTCCCACGGCCATTCCGATGGTGGTGCTACATCGACTGGCTTTCGACGCATTCGTAGCGCCCCTGCGATATCGTGTCTTTGCACAAGACCCACTCTGCGCACTTGAAGAAGATGATGACGGTCCTGCCTATGAATTCTGCAACGACGAGTTGGGAGTTGGTGCTTGAAGACGACGACCCATCGCCCTCCGCCTACCGTGCTACTATCAATGCGTGCTTTCTGGACATACCAACTTTGGACATTTCGGGCATCGTGGGACTGTGTGCAGAGAGGCGTGCGTCAGTCGTTGCAAAGGCCGCACCCGCGTCGGCGAGAGTTTGCTTCAAGCCGCCATCAACCGTATGCCGTGTCGACGCAGCGTGCGGCGACAAGGCTACGGTGGACATCCAGTGCGAGGAGCATCATAACCTGCGACGCACAACCACCGACAAATCAGTAATAGCACCGATGACACCACTTTAGTCGAGGCCACTCTCGAAGGGCAATCTTAGTACGCGATAACATGTCTCTGGTGGCGATGACCAGGTTGAGAGGCTCGACGATTGATCGGCCTGGTTCTTCGAGGCTTGTGTTCTTTTTTCTTCCAGCAGCATTATTCGCTGCAGAATGCACTGTATCCTCGGCGCAGGTGCCTCCTGGTCCCGTCGACGCGGGCGGAGATTCGCGTCCATGGCGCCGCCGTGTCCACGAGCATCGTTGCCCTGGCACAGGTCGCCAAAGACATGGAGCCTCAACCGCCGTCGCAGCTGGCGTCGCCACCTGCCTCTCATCGCCCTTGGTGTTGTAGAAATGCAACACGTTGATGGACGAGTGTATTAGCCTAATAAGCTGAGCCGAAGCTACTAGCCGCGTATTAGCCGTACTGGTAGCCACCATACTACGCAGTCTACTGTACGCGTCTTCTACACTGCAGTGTTGCCGCCGACGAGGTGGGAAAGAAGGCCGTCGGGGTTGGCGAGCAACGTCGACGGCAGGCCCACTTCAGCAACGGCGCCGGCGTCCAAGACCAGCATGACGTCCGAGTCGAGCACTGTGTTGAGCCGGTGGGCGATCGTGAGGCACGTGCAGTTGACAAAGACGTCGCGGATCGTTGCTTGGAGCTGACGGTCCGTGGCAGGGTCCACGGACGCGGTCGCTTCGTCCATCACAATCACTTTCGACTGCTTGAGGAGCGCGCGGGCCATGCACAGCAGTTGCCGCTCGCCGACGCTATAGTTGCCACCGCGCTCGGCCACGACGTCGTCGAGGGATCCGATGGTGGCCATGTGCACGTCTCGGAGCGCCGCCCAGAGCCGATCGTCCGAGTACAACTGCAGCGGGTCGAGGTTGTAGCGCAGCGAGCCTGAAAAGAGGACCGGGCCTTGGGGCACAATGGAGACGGCATCTCGGAGGCGGTGCAAAGCTACCATGGCGACGTCGACACTGTCGATCGTGATGCAACCGGCGTCCAATTCGACGAGCCGCATGAGGGCGACGACGAGACTCGACTTGCCCGCGCCCGTGCGTCCGACGACGCCAACTTTGGCGCCGCCCGCGACGGCAAACGTCACGTTCTGGAGCACCTTTGGTCGATGCGGCTGGTAGCGCAGGGCGACGTTTTGAAATGCGACGGCGCCGGTCGTTGGCCACGCCGGAGGCACCGCCGACCCGCCGATGGCTTCGGTGCGCACCCGCGTGTAGGCGTCCATGCGCTCGACCGCAATCATCTGCGTCTGGAGACTGCTGTAGTTGGTCACGGACTGCGTCATGTACTTGGTCATCGTGAACGCATACGAGAGCGAGACACCGGCGAGACCGGCGAAGAGCGCCGAGGAGCCTTGGGCGTGCACCCACACGGCGCAGAGCCCAGCAAAGGACGCGACGACGGTCCCCGCGACCTCGAGGCGCAGCGAGAGCCAGCAGTTGACGCTAAAATTGAGCCAGAGCGCCTGCACGTTGCGGTTCACACGCGCATCAAACGTCGCTGCAAATGCCGTCTCGGCGGCCGCCGCCCGAATCGTGCTCAGGCCCTCGAGCGTCTCGCCAAAGAGCGAGAGTACTGGCGACTTGGAGATGGACTCGAGACGCTGAAGTTCCCGAGCCGTCTGGAGGTAGTAGCGCTGCGACTGCCAGTACGCATATCCGGTCGGCAGCAGAATCACAGCAAAGAGCGGCGTCACCGCAACGATCGTCCCGACGGTAAACACGACCGTAGTCGCCGTCACCAAGAGCGCGCTCCAGGTTGCCGGCAGGCTTTCGTCAGCCGTGTAGACGTCCGAGGTGAACCGGTTGGCGAGTTGGCCAAGCGGCGTCGTCTCGAAAAACAACATCGGCGCGCGCACGACACGCAGCAGCATCGACCGGAAAATCACCTGGCTACCTCGGAGACTCGCAATGTAGAGCACGACGGCGCGACTGAAGATGCCGACGACGTATGCCATCTGGAGGCTCACAAATATGCACAGATACAAGCGCACCGTGCTCGCCGAGACGTGCTCGGACCAGTACGAGAGCCACACCGTCCCCGCAACACTGGTCGCTTCGGCGACCACATACACGGCGCATACGAGAAGCAGTGTCGGCCACCCGCCGCACGCGTGGAGCCAGACGCTGTAGACAGACGCGGTGACCGAGCCGCGCGTCCGGTCTTCGGCCGCCATGAGCTTTGTATCGCATGGCGACACTGGCAACGGGACGCCAATCGGTGCCACCTCGGCGCTGCCAGGTGCGGTGGTCGGCGGCGGCACGGCGTCGGCCAGCATCTTGACCACATACGGATGGGTCGCAACGTCGGTCAGCGCGCCCGACGCCTGGACCCCGCCGTCGTCGAGAACGACGATTGTGTCGGCGACCGCCAGCGCACTCGGTGCGTTCGTCGCCAGCAAAATGACCTTGGTCTTGAGCACACGTTGGAAGCATTCGCGTACGATGCGAGCGCCGACGTGGGCGTCAACGGCGGCGAGAACGTCGTCGAGGAGGTAGACGTCGGCGTCTTGGTACACGGCGCGCGCGAGAGCGACCCGCGTCTTTTGACCGCCGCTGAGGTTGATGCCTTTCTCGCCAATCTCGGTGCGATCCCCGGCCGGCAGCAGCGCCATATCGGGCGTCAAGCACGCGACGTCGATCGCGTCGTTGTACCGCTTGTGATCGTAGGGCCGACCAAAGCAGATGTTGTCGCGGACGGTCGCGTTCAGAATGAACGGTTGCTGGGCGACGTACGCCATCGAGCCGCGCCGAGCGACGGTCCCCGAGGCACAAGCGACCTCACCGAGCACGCTGCGCAAGAACGACGTTTTGCCCGACCCCGCGGGCCCGACGATCGCGACCAGCGTGCTTGTGCCGACCGCAAGCGACACGTGGCGGAGCACGGGCGTCGGCGCTCAGGGCACGTCCAGTGTGGCATTTCCCCACGCAACTCCGGGCGTCGACAAGCTGCCTGATGTCACGAGCGCGCGGTCGGGCTCGAGAAGGTAGTCGCGCAGGCGGTCGAGACTGATCTGCGCCTCAAGAATTGCGTTGACCATGTCCGGTAGCTTGAGCAGCGGGAGGCGCAAAATGTTGAACAGCGCCAAGCTCGTCAGCGCCGTGCTCACGTCAAGGGCGTGGCCCAAAAGCACGTACAACCCAAAGGACGCGACGGCCGTGAACGCCGGGAGGCCGTTGGACATGGCGTTCGAGACCGCGCGCGTGATGAGGTACGTGCGCAGCTGGCGGAGCTCGCTATTGCGCTTGGTTTCGATGCGACTGAGAAAGGTGTCTTCCCACGCTTGGCATTTGATGACCTTGACGCCGGCCCAGACCTCGTTGCAGAGCTTGGTCCGGTCGTCTTTCAACGTCATGACGCGCTTCTGGATCGACTTCATGTAGGTGGCGAGCCGGAGCGTGAGTGGCACAAAGAGGAGGATGACACCGACGCCGGGCCAGGAACGAGACGCCAATCTCACGCCAGAGCAAACCCGAAGACAATAGAATCAAGTAGGGCACGATCCAGATCGAGTGCAAGTCGATGGTCAGTTTCTGGACGCGCGTCGCGTCGATCGACATCAAGTTGGTCGCTTGGCCCGACGATCGGTCGGCGGACGGCGCGATCGTGAGCGCCTTGCGGTACAGCGCGGCCTGGAGCGCGCTGCGAAAGCACATGCCGACTTCGCTCGCAAGGTACGTGTACTGGCGAATGCACAGCGACTGGAGGACACCGGACACAAAAATGACGCCGACGAGCACGTAGCCTTGGGACGACGGCGCGCTTGGGTCGCTCAAGAAGGCGATCATGGCCTCGAGCACGAGCGGTGCCGTGAAGAGGAGCGTCGCCCGGATGCCCCGAAGGAGCCCGGCGAGAAAGAAGCGCCAGCCAAAGGCGCGGAACAAGGCGCGGAGCAAACTCGGCTTGGACGTACATGCTCGCTGCGCTGCCCAGGCAGCGAGGAACCGGTCAACGACGGTCGTTGCGTCGTGGGCGGCCTCGATCGGGTAGAGATCGTCGACGTCGAGGGTCTTGGTTGCGCCGAGGGCCAGGAGCGGGCTCAGTCACGTGAAGAAGAGCGCCGACGTGCAGCTCGCGCGAACCGGCGCTGGCGCGTTGGCCAGCAGGGGCGTTGCCTCGCTGGTCATGTGGCGACCTTATTGCTGGATTGGGAGAGCTTAAAAAATGCAGAGCTAGATGTTGATGTTTGTAGGAAGAATAAAATCTTGGATTTAAAGGTTTAAAGCGTGGTGTGTTTGATATTTGCACTTGATTTATGTATTGTGCAATCTGAGGCCAGCGGAGATTAGCGTCGGTGCGAAATGGGTGCCATGACTCAACCAGTGGGTAAAACTGGGTTAGACCTCGTTTACCGCGAATAACGTTTTGCTGCAGACATTGTTGTAGTCGCGCAACACTTTAACATAAACAGGCCCCTTGGCTTTTATAACGCACGTCAGCTCAACAACAACAGGCCCCTTGGCTTGAGTTGCTGTGACGTGGCAGCACGAGGACGCATCGCCGCAAATGATGGCTGTGTGCGCAGCAGTATCCGAGAGCCTCTCACTCGACAGCTGCCATGTCGGCGTGCGTTCTGTTGAAAGAGCAGCAGCGTTTGTTGTAGACTTAGGTCATCGATTCATCGTCGTTCTTGCATGGCTGCAGCATTACGGTAGCCATGCTCCGAGGACAGTTTTGGCTGCCAGGACAAGTAGCCCAGGTCATACGGCACTGGCACTCGTGGGTCATGGGCAATGTTTTCGTGTATGGACAGTGGTGTATGGCAGCTGGGGTGTATGGATATGCCACTGCCTTGAAACACACGGAAGAAGCTGTAGCCGCTGGGCGAGCGAAGCACTCGGCAGAGAGAACTAAGAAGACGCGGAGCCGCACGGCTTCAGAGGAGAGAGGCAGGAAGCAAGGGCAACTCATAACCAGCTTTGGAATATATTGCTCGGGAGTGGAACACGCCGCCAGAGGGCTCGTGAAAAACCACTCGGATCGAATGGTGGAAATCAACGAAAATTTCTCGAGTTGATATCTGTGGATTTACGGGCCCAAAGTCATTTCCCACTCTTCCCGAGCCGGATGTGTGGTCGACACCGTCGTTTGTCGTCGGCAATCGGCGACGGAGTCGGTGTCGGCGTGAGCGTCTTGCACGGTTTGGCTTTCTTCATCGGACTGGTCGACATGGTACTAAGGCACACCAAGCCGCTTGGACAGCTACACGTGTGCCTCATATCCTTGCCAGAGCACTTCAACCCCGTCCATAGCTGACGAATGCTCCGTGCAACCAAAACGTATTTACTCGTACACACATCGGCATCTCCATTCGGAATTTAGGGCCGTGGAGAGTGTATTCAGACTACTAGCACTCAACAAACTCATGGCAACCACCGACGGTGCAAACCTAGCCACGTAGCAAAACCACCCCGACGGCGTGCATGGCAACAACGACGCCCAACTATGCTACATGTCGCACGTAGCTTCAAGCCCTTTTGACATATACAATCCCAAACACGTGGGCTCCGTCGGTGACGCCGTGTCAGAGCACTTCGACATTGTCCATGCGTCCGACGACAACATCATGCAAATGGTTTACAGCGAGCAACACGAAATAATGTAATCAGACATTCCATTGACGTGCGCCTCGTGTTGCTTCCAAAGTGAGCATGATCATGAGTTGTGTACGTAGCAGGAGAGCAGACACAATTGGAGCTCGGGGCGGTAAGCAAGATTCGGTTGGCGACCGCCGAGACCGAGATTGCATCGGCGTCTAATGCGCACGTGCGCACCGGCGCTTTCAGTCAGTTTTAGCGTCAGCTGCTGGCTCTCGCTGCGGTCGCAGTGCCTTCTTTTGCCGGGTTCTGACCAAGGCTCGGCAGTACTTGGGCAGTACTAATTTCCAAAATGGAGTTGGCTGCTTCCATGTCCGCCCGTTCGTTCTGTCGAAAGAACGACGTCGGCGTTCGCTGTTGTTAAGGCATCCGCGCGTCAAGTTTATCCTTCATTCATGCATAGCAGAAGAATTGCCGACCCATGCTTTCGCGACAAAAGTTCTCGCCGCAGATCTTTGAGGAGGTCGCAGACGAGGATGAGTAAGATAGACCCGCGCACTGGGAATGTGATGGCTGAAACGCCGTCGGGTGGTCGTGCCAAGTACAACGTTGCCATTGGCAAACCAGCTTGAGTGCGGATTGTTCGCGCGCATTCCACAACCATGTCCATATCCTGATGCTGTATA